CACATCAACAACTTTTTTTTCAACTGCAGCACTTTTATCCAAACACATAACTACTTATTTTTAAAATAAGTTTCAGCACTTTAAAAAGTTACTTTTTTTAAGTCAATCCAAACGAGCTCTTACTTAGGACATTCGAACTTTTGACTTTCAACTTTTTTGGGTGTTGAAGTACTTTTTGAGTTGCCCAAATACTTTCAAATTTTTATTTCTTTTAAAAAAAGAACTTAAAAATCACTAAAACTAAGTCAATTCAAACACCTACTAAATTAATCTTGAATTATAGTCCAGGATTAATTTATCCCATTTCAGGGATAAAGTAAATTAATCTTAAGTTGAATGGAATAAAATGGGATATCCCAAAAAGCCTAAAATAATATATTCCACCTTATCGTGTGTACCAAGCAAATCGATACCTATATTAAGCATAGGCAATAGTTCATCCACATTAATACTCATCAGCCAACAAAAAGCAGAATTCCACTAGAAATTGCCAGTTCAGATCGGCCTAAAAACAGGTCAAAAGTTGCACTTTGAAACTTGCTATTGGTGGCGGGTTTTGGAGTGCCTATCAAAGTTCGCTGGCACATGCCCCTAAGGGCGATCTTCACCACTTGTACCTCACATCTCGGAAATATTTATATGTATGTATATTTATCCTTGACTTCATTATTTTTCTTTATGAAGTTTTGATGTAAAAATTCATCTACCAACACATTTGAACCAATTAAAAATAGTGTCAGAGCCAGAAATTCAAACAGAAGATATCCATTCTCCCAATTGACAACCTTCACCATGTAATGTAGGGATAACAAGTACCTTTACACTAGGGGTGTACATAGGTCGGTTTAGTTTGGTTTTTCATTAAAAAAAACCTAAACCAATTATGTCGGTTTATTAAATCTAAAAACCAAATCAAACCACATAAAGTCGGTTTTTTCGGTTTCGGCTTTAGTCGGTTCTTTCGGGTTTTTTGGTTTTTTACAACTATACAGTGTTTGAAAAAGAGATCAAAGATATTTTCACTTGTATGGTAAGCTAAACTTAAAAAATGTTAAATGAATTGAAATTTTTGAAAAGATGGTAAAATTCACATGAGTACAATTTTTTTTTTTTTGAAATATCAACTCTTATTATGTTAAATTAATAAGATTAAAGGCTACATGCAAACTGAATACAGAACAAAATATTTACAAAGTAAATTGTTAACTTTGAATTTGAAAAACTATAACAATATAATTGTAACTTCGGATCTTAATACAAAATAAAATGTTTACAAATTTTATAAGCCCAAATTTGAAATAAAATATATAAACATTGAAAACTATAAACTAACTAAAAATATATTAACAAGGTAGATTATAAATAATATTTTTATCTATAAGTAAAAGAAATTATATATATATATATATGATATTTGCAAAATTTTCCAAGCCCAAATTTGAAATAAAATATATAAACATTGAAACTATAAACTAACTAAAAATATATTAACAAAGTAGATTATAAATAATATTTTTTATCTATAAATAAAATAAAATAAAATATTTTATATATATATATATATTATGTTAGTTTGGTTTGGGTTCGATTTGACTTTTTTTCTTTTAATACCAAATCAAACCAAGGGTGATCAATTTTTTTTACAACCACCAAACCAAACTACAAATCGGTTTTTTTTTTCGATCTAATTTGATTCGTCGATTCGATTTGACTTGTACATCCCTACTTTACACAATAGAAGCAATACATAAATCAAAAGACTCAAATGCACAATAGCTTAACAAAGTGTAACCATTTTCCGATATTATAAGTCCATTTTTAAAAAATAAAATAAAATAGGTAACTGTTGTTCTTCATTTTTATTAGTATTTCCCTACTCGGTGGTTCTTATAAGTTATATATATACATCACTGTTTGTTTTGGAAATTTGAATTGCTACATTTGTGCTTTCATCGAGAGGTCTCTCTAATGGAGGATCAAAGAGTACTCAACTCAAATGCTTTCATTGATGATTCAATTCAGAGATAAGTCACAAATAACTTCCAATTGGAGTTTGGTTTGCATATATATATATATATATATATATATATATCTCCTCATATATTCTTTT